TAGCGCGATTGTTGAAGTTGAGTGTATCGGTAAAGTTATATTCGGAAAGAATAAACTAGTTTTATTAAGAAAGGACTTGTGTCGCTTAAGTTTCGTCGGAAAGTTAATTAACAAACGGAGACGTAACAATACTAAGATAGATTACAACAATTCCATTAGTGTATCAACTATAAACAATCAAATATGAACTAGCTGTACTCACCAGGATCTGTGGGTGGAAGATAGAAATCTCCCACTATGACAACACGTTTTTCACCTGCAGGATAAGTAAAAAGTTATGTTTAATTTGTCAGAATATTTCTTCATTACTGAAATATTAGCTCATTGGGGATAGACATTAATTTAGATAGATGTTTAAACTTTGAAATCCACATTTTGGTCATTAGATTAGCATTAACATGTATAATGATTATTGAAATTTTATTATTTATTACTGATTATTTGTTAATGAGACTTTGGGTGATCAGACATCCTAGTTTTGCTGAGACAGTCCCATTTTATTGGTAGTTTGTCCCAGTGTCTTGAGAAAAGTTCTCAGGATGCATGTTCTGGTTTTATCATAAAGACATCAAACTGTCAGGCACATTCAATTATAAATGTAATAGGCCTACTTGACTTGATTATTGTTGTAACACATACTATTTTGCTGCCAAACTCTCTCATAACTTCTATCTGTGCATGGTGAGAAACCCAGGTCTGTGCAGGTTTTTCTGTTGATGAATGTGTGTTTATCACCAAAAAAACAATAGTTGAAATTAAAGATGACGAGAAACCCACTTGCAGTAAAAATGTATAGTAGAGATGGCTGGTATGTGTATTAAAAACTTTATTTTAATTAAAGTTTTTAATACCCATACCAGTAGTTGAAATTATTTTAAAAACAATGCCAGTGTTAATATATTTGGAAATAGGGTAGAACAGTTCAATAAATTTAAAGTAAATTAAATAAAAGTTAAATTATTTCAAATTTGTAATAACCATTTTCAAATTAGGGGTAAGAGTTGGGCTGTCTTGGTTTTTTGGTTTGGAAACCTGGTCACCCTAACTAGATTTTAAATCATATCTTCACTATATTTTGTAATTAGTAGGTATTGATTCTGTTTTAATCACTGCCTAGAAATTCAATTTTGTAAATCATCAATGTTATGATGGAAATATCCTTTTGAATATTACTGTAAAAAGCTTTCAAATAAAATACTTTGTAACTTACTAATTGTAAGAAATACATTTTAAAAAGCATTATTTCAGAAACTAGGTAAAAGTGTAATAATTTGAATGGAATTTAAATATTTTAAACAAGCTGAAATTTCCAATGTTCATAAATAGATAATAAGTTTGTCTTGTTCAGTACAGAAAAAAAAAAAAACATTAAAAAAATGTACCTTCTAAATGTTCTGGCAAACTCTTCATTACTTCTTTTAACATTGTTCCTACTTCACCATTAACAGTGTTAACCTTCAGGTGATGATTTACAACTGTGAGACTCATCCCGTCCACCTAGAAGAGGAAAAATTGAAAAAGACATAATTTAAGATTCTGCAAATTTACTATTATAAAGGACAGTTCAGGCATATCTTAGATCTAACAGTCAATACATGTGGACACATGCCCAGGCTTATCTTATGACAATAATATTAAAGAGTTGTTTTATTATGTATTATTTATTTCTAGTTATAGTTTACTTTATTCATTAAATTTATTGATGAGTTATTGGTACCTAGTTACAATAGACAAGGAGAACCTGAAAAAAAGAGTGGGTCTCTCTCATGATCTTGACAAAAGCATCCTAATTCTTAAATCAAGGCCTGATTTGATTACAAAATTGAAATTCTAGAAGATTAAAAATAGTTATGCAATTTGACAGTCAGTTACTTGGCCCTCATAAAATATAAATGCTGAAAATTCCAAAATATTCTTCAATAAAAACCTGAATATTTGTCAGGCATTTCTGAGATAAATATATATATATATATATTTTTTCATAACTAAATATTACTCTTCACAATTTTCACTTCAGCTCATAATTTTATTGCTGACACTAAAGGCTAAAACAAAATAATGTACAAGAAAGTTTTGCTGCAAAGAAAAAAGCAACAAAATATATCATTTGCCATGCATTTATAGCACTTCTTTGTGAAATAAAAAACAAAAGTTGGAATATGAATTATCTGAAACTTGGCAGAACAAACAAATAATACAAAGCAACAATAATACTCAAAGTGATCCATTAAGCTTGTATATTTAGTTACAGTGATGGCACCATAACCATATAATCAAGTCATGTACGTTACACAAGTGAACCAGTTAAGAAAAATGTATTTGATTGTAAATTAAAGACTCTCACACACATATTTTCAATAGAAAATTCATCTACAAGAATAAAAATAAATTATTATATATATATATAAATAAGTTTTTTTTCCAAATCATTAAACAAATCTATTTTAAAACTATACACTTGTACTATTACTGAAATTTAATAAAGGTGGGTGGAAACAAAACACTACAGTAGTTATCTCTTTACTATAACTGTACCCCTGTACTATTATAGAAATTTAACAAGCGTAAGTGGGTGTAAGCAAAACATTACAGTAGTCATCTCTTTTAGTATAACTGTACACATGTATTATTACTGAAATTCAACAAACATAGGTGGGTGTGAAAAAAAACCTATAGTAGTCATCTCTTTACTATAACCTTATCCCTGTATTATTACTGAATCTTTTATTTTCCTAATGGCAAATATTATTTACAAGAAGAAAAACCCTGAGAGTAATATTATAAAAATATTTTGATATTATCCGATATCCTTAGGATTTGTTTAGCAAAACACTATTCTAGAACTCCAATATTTTATTACTATGCTTAACGTTTTCCATGTGATATATATTATATACCTATGTATCTAAACTATATTTTATACAATAAATTAAAATTAATAAACTAAGGTAAATTTATAAATAATTTTGAAAAGTAAGGCAAAAATAAAAATCTCATATTGCATTATATAATAACTTTTAAAACTATAAGTACTTTATAATATAAAGATTATGTTATTTTCTTAACTATATTTGTGTATTCAAACAAATCTTTATTTTGGTGGATTTAAGGTGAGACCTCTCCTTTAAAACATCTTCATTACACATATGTTCACAGTTAACTATATTTGTGTATTCATACAAATCTTTATTTTGGTAGATTTAAGGTGAGACCCCTCCTTTGAAACATCCTCATTACACATATGTCCACAGTTAACTATATTTGTGTATTCATACAAATCTTTATTTTGGTGGATTTAAGGTGAGACCCCTCCTTTAAAACATCTTCATTACACATATGTCCACAGTTAACTATATTCATTCTGGTCATATCACTTATAGGATTCTCTTCCTTCACTGAATAACATTATAATATTTTCACAATACTGTTAAATCCGAATAACATTCTATTATTGGAAACTTATACAAAGCTTTACATACATCATGTAAAGTTGTTTTCATTTCTATCTTTCTCTTTCTCTGTTAAAATATATATAACGAAAAGTTATCTAGGAAAACACCTGTGGAAATTAATATCATACAAACCTTGAAATGGCCTACACACAAAGTGAGCAAATCCAAAATTCCATCACCATTTGCTGGCATAAATAACTTGGCATCCTGTAACTCAATATTACAGCTGGTGTTGAACAAAAATCCACAAGACTAGATAGAAAAATGTTGATAAAAACTATTACTTATTTTATTAAAGCTGTGATAAGAAGAATAATGCAAAACCTTTAATGCTATTTGAACTTCAAAAACAAAATTAAGAAATACAAAATGTTTTAATTAAAAGAATCAATGTTTTGAGGTATTTCATTTCCAATTGTATGTGAAATAGTTAGAAGTTGTTTAGATAAGTTTACACATGGATCAATTTTACATTCATTATTAGCTGCAGTAAGAGAATCAAAGGCATAAAAATATAATACACAATTATCACTGCAAAAAGAAATATATTGATTTTCATCAATAAGAGAATAACTAAAGAAGGTAATCATTTATACAAAAATTACATACACTAGTTTACCTTCCTTTTGCTTAAATAATTTTTAATATACATTATTAATGTACCATGTACATTGAAATAATTAGATGAAACCAATACAAGTTCTTAATTTAAAACTCTGGTTTAAAAACCACAAAAAAATATTCAGATAATTTCAGAAATTTAAAAGCCTTGTATTTATAAGGACTTACAAAAACAAAAGGGAGATTTATGCTTTAAGGCAAAATGCATATAAGATGTAAAAGTAAACAGTTCACTTGTGACAAATTTCTCTAGATCAAATTTTGCAATATCTGGCAAAAACTGAAATAGAAGTTAGTGGTACATTTACTAAGTTTGTTGTTAAGTTCCCTTTGTGACCGAAGCTTGAACTTTGAAAATTGCTGTTAATGCCATCAGATTATACAGCATGAAATATGATCTACATAATATGTTATTAAAAAAAATTAGTTCATTTTTAATACAATAATATATATATATATATATATATTACATTACCATTAATGGTCCAGGTTGTCAACTTACTGTCATAATGGATAATGTCTGTGGTAATAGCACCCAAATGCATTGGGAATATCCCATATATCAGACAAAATCCAAACACGGATGTCATGGAAAATCATAAAAAAAGCAATCAACTAAGGGTATGAAGCTGAGTGCTTACACCCACAACGTCTCACCTTCTACTGCCTTTCACTGTCTATAGCGAGTTGTGTGAAGGTAGTTACCCTAAAATTTCTCAAAGTAGAAATGAACTGAAATGAAGCCACCTGATATTAATAAAATTATCCATTATGACAATAAATTGACAACCTGGACTGATAACGGCAATGCGATGTTTAATTCATTATTGTTTTATAGTTCTGATTTAATCACCTATTAACAATTAATGTAATTAATAGTTTGTGAGCTATATACATATATTACAATACCACAAATGACAGTTGTACTCACGTGGAATTCTTAACATGTTATATATATGATAATCTAACAACTTATAAATGTTCCTAATGTAATGTAACATGTCACAAGAATAAAAACTGGAAACATGTTTACACGAATGTTAAATAATCTATGTGTAATGTCTGAAAGCTATACTGGTCTGTATATAACTGTAACATCATATATGACTGGGAGCTAAAAGCTGTACTTACTCAAATGTAAAAACCAGCATATATGTTCTGAAACTAAGAAAATGTATATTTTGACTGTTAGAAAATTTCATCTCCTCCAGTCCAAAGTGAGACTGTACAATATACAATGTCACAAACTTCTACTTTCCCTTATGATTAAGATATATGTAGCCAATTCAGTGTGTTCACACTTACACCTTCTTTTGTGGGTGATGTGGGTAAGGCACTCTTCCACTTTCCTCTTTCTCCCATCCAACTACTGACCTTTTTTTGCTGGGGATGACTCAACTCAGTTGCCAACTGAAAGTTTACAATTTGAACATGTTTAGTTTCTTTGACTCTACAGGTATAGTATTGTATCATTAAGAATGATCTGTATTTTTTTTACCAATATACATAATAATTTTGTGACAGCAAGATAAACACTTTTATGCTATCATCTTAAAGTACCCTAATAACAGTTGTCATCAACTGATTAACATTTACGTCAAGAATAAAATATGTTTATTTTACTCAAGTAAAGAAAAACATTGGTGGTATTTTACAATTTTAAGCACCTCAGTCATGAGGTGTTAATGAATTTTAAAAATAGATAAATATTCTGCTACTTTTTGATTATATTTCTATCTGAAGAAGTTTGTCTTCTCCTCATAAGAATAAAAGTAAAAGCCAGAGGGAGATCTATGTGTAGTATTATGTTTCAGCAATCAAAGACCATAAATCAATAGTGTTATACCCAAGAATGTGAATATGATGCTACTGACATTTCATGTGATATCACAGATAATTAAGAAACTTACCAAAGTCAGAGGAAGATCTGAAGTCACATCTTGTAAGGCAATTAAACTTATCCTGATAAATAAAAAATGAGGTACAAAACATTAATTGTATTTCAAGTAAATAAATAGTGAAGAATTTTATGTAGTTTATAAATTAGTGTAAAATGATATATAATCTAAAGTGAAGCCAAACACTTTTTTAAAATGTATTTTTAAGGTGTAACATTTTTTAAACTTTTTACTAAGTTTGAAAAAGTCCTTAGAAAGCACTTTAGGGAGGATGTAATATTAATGTGTGTCACCCATGCCAGCTAATAACTGTGACCTATACTGAACACGTAGTCTGGATGGCATTTAATTTTGACCCTTTACAAGATAGTTATGTGAAATAAAAATGGTGGATGGGGGGGTACAAATGCCAAATTTCATAAAATATCTCTAAAGCTGGCATTGATGACACTTTTGCTATGGTCGATGAAACAAAAAAAAGGGTTTAAAAAATGCAAAATTTATAGTACTGTAAAAGAAAAATTTATATTCAACAATTTTTTTTGTATGTAAGTTATGTAAATCCATAACAAATCACACAAATGAATGAGAAATCATCATTGTTGTTAACTTTTCTTTATTTTCCTTATGTTTTAAAAATGAAATTAATACTTTGTTCTAGAAATGACATACAAACTAAATGTTACTTTATGTCCATGGTAAAATAATCTCCTACATAACTTAAATAAAAAAATAGTAACATTCTCAGTAATTACAATTTATATAATCCGAGCAATAGCTGATAAAAAAATTACAAAATATTTTGAAATATAGACTGCTCAAGCATACATTTTTTACGTTTTGTTAATCTCTAATTCCAGTTATTAAACAGTGTTAAAGGCTGAAACATTTTGCTTTGAATTTAAAACTAAACCACCAATCAAATTAACATTATTTCACCCTTTAGATATTAAAATTTATGATACGGGATGGGTAGTTTAACCTTCTAGTTACAGACTTGTTAATATACCAGTCACAACTGGTGATCCACATACTGCATCATAATGGGTGAGTTTATGTTTTTGTCAGTATAACAAAACAGTATAAAGAACTGATCACAAAAACTGGATGTAATCATTCATTTCCTATGTAATATAAACAGGAAATCCTCTGATTATTCTAGCATTTAGAAGTAGGTTTTGGGGTTATAGTCAAATGAGCAAATGGTTATACATGTTACAAGCAGTGCCTTAAATGGCAAAGAAAAAGGTGCTGGTACACATAAAAGTGCAATGAAAGAAGACAAAGGTTGTTTGTTCTTAAACATAAAGCAACACATCGGGACTATCTTTGCTGTGCCCACTATGGGTATTTAAAACTAGTTTTTAGCATTATAAACCTAGAGACTTACCACTGAAATATTGGGGGCTAAAAGGCAAAGAAAAAGTGGCAGTATGCAGTTAGGTACACATTTCTCGCTATGATGAAAAGTGCTGTAATGCAACTATTTGGAATATGGAAGTGCTGGAACTGAGTACCAACAAGTACTGGCCCATTTCAAGTACTGCTTACTTATAGTAGTGGTTTCAAAAACAATATTATAGATAATAAGCAAAGGTATTTGTCTTTATTATAGTCCATTCAGCAGTTAAAAGTACAATGCTATGGAACTTATATAGGACCCCTTCAGTTATTAGTCATATTAGTTGCAATAATGACAACATTTTTGCTTACATTTTTTTTTTTTGTGATTCTTGTAACCCTATAACCAGCAAAAAAATAGATCAACAAGCAATTTAGTGCATAATTCTAAACACATATCTAAGTACTCTGATGGGGTTCATATGGACACCATGGTAATCCTAGAGTTTAGAAGTCAGTTAATGGGCCATAGCCAGATGAAATATAGTATACAAAATGTTTAATTATATTGCATGAAGCAGTGGCTTCAAAAACACTGGATTAAATAATCAGTGAAGGTATACATTTTTTATTATAGCTCATTCAGCCAGTTAAAAGTACAGTGTTAAAATAATCTGTAGCATTAATATTTTAAATGCTAATCACCATTTACAAGCTTAAGCATTTTAGTGATGATCTTACATTTGCATTAATTATTTGTTTGCACTAGAATTATGTCAACATAACTAACAAAACAGCCATTGTTTCTTTAGTCAATATCATAAACATTACAATGATCACATGCATTATCAAATGAATAATCTTAAGTGACACTATACATTAAAACTTACCCATTTTCAAGTATTGTTCTACATATAACTTCCTGTACACCTGGATTCCGAACTTTTTGTATTGTCAGACCTTCCAGGTTCCACACTGCAATACGAATTGCTGGTTTATCATTTCTGCAGTAATTAAATACTTCTTCCACAATTGGTCGATGGCAATGATCAGAAAGAAAATCATACACAACTTTGCTTGTTTCATCAAAAAGTCTAATCCTGTCCATATTATATAAGGAAGGTGCTGATAATGTTTTTCTATAATAACTTTTGTTTTTAATTATGCTTCTGTCATTTTGTGGTGTTCCAGTTGGAAGGGACACATTCTCTCCATTTGAAGTTGAAGAACCAAGAGTAAGAAAAAATCTGATTGTTGCAAATTTTTGGTGCTTAATTCCTTTCACTTTCAACAAGTCATCTAGAGTCTGGAATGGTCCTTTTTTTTCTCTATAATAGATAATGTTAGCTGCCAGTTCTTGACTAATTCCTTGTACAGACATTAACTGAAATACATTAGCTCTATTCACATCTACAGTTTTCATTTGTGAACCTTGGAAATTAAGATTATTTTCACAAATGGCAAAAGACTCTAGAGATATGTTACCAGATGATGACTGACTTCCTCCTTTAAGGCCAATCCGATAAGAATTGACACAAATTTCAGAGCGAACTTGTTCTAACTTTCTGGCCCCAACTCCAGAAACTAAAGCTAGGTCTTCCACTTTCCTAAAACCACCAATAGTTTGACGGTATTCCATAATATTGTGAGCAATAGAGCGAGAAATGCCTGAGAGTGTCATAAGCTCTTCTTCAGAGGCACTATTAATGTTTAGCAAATCCCACTGCAGATCATTATCATAAACATGAAAGGTTGCACTCAACGGAACGCCTCTTTTTTTATTTGATCGTTCATGACTTACATTTCCACTGGAGTTACCTTGGCCTTTTGTAACACTTGTACACTGACCCATCTTGTTCTTACTCCACCATATATGTGATTGCAACATTAAACAAAGCAAACTTTACTAAACATATTTCCATTTCCAAGTAATTAAATACTTCCTCTATTAATCACCATAACATTTTAGGAGACTGGTTCCTTGTTAACTACATAAAAAAAAAAAACATCTTAAAGGGAAAGGAAATTTCATTTTCATATGAAACTGCTATACTTTTCAAATTATATAGTGAAAATCAAAGGGTAAAAAAAAAATTGAAAGCCAAAATTTGCAATTTCTGAGAAAGTATATTTAACTGTAATGATCCAGATTAAAATGATTCACAACAGAATTAAATGAAAAACAGAAAAGTAAAAAAATGACAATTTAATCAAAGTGTGTCTATTCTCTTGAAATAGAAGTATGAGAAACAGTAAGTGGACATTTTTTTTTATCTTCAAATTATTAAATAGTCTTCCTAATTTCATTTTTACACCATTTGGTTCTAATGTTTTTGTTTTGTCAGCTACATATTTAAATCAAATGTATCAATGCAGATAACTGTGTTACGAGTATATATACCAAATCACCTAATATATGAAGAGTTGTTTTCATGTGTACAATTCACATTTTATTGTCCTAATGCAGTATTACACACACTGTGAAACGGTCAGTGTCTTTGTTACAGTATTACACACACTGTGACACAGTAAATTAAACATTAAGATATTCTAAAAAACTCCTCAACTCTCACTTGCACACAAAATAAATCTTTTTCGGTTTTAATATTAATCTTCAAAAGCAATAATGAGATTACAATTTGTTAAGTTATCGCATAAAGAACTTGTATTTATAATTTGTATTTATATTAGAAAGTGATAGACATATCTCTGCTACCGTGACAGGTTGGAGAATAAATCTTTTATTTATATTTAAAATCACGCAAAAGTCTGAATCAATTGAACAATTCGATAAATATCTGATACTTCATAAACAGTGATTAATTCTTGCAATATATTATGGGTACAATGAACCTGAAAGGCCATCGATAACATTAATATATTTATCAAGTTCGGGAACACCACGTACCACTACCAGTAAACAAATTGAAGCTCGCCCCTACCCCGTGATTCAACCTTTGTCCCATAAAACTATAAGTACTACCAAGTCTAAAGTCTTTACATTACACGCTTGTTTTGCTCTGAAAACAAACTCTGATAATACTCTTCTCTCTTTTAACTCCCCTAAACCTTCACTTATACCGACACATTCTTTCTTCGATTTGCATTTTCACGAAGTACGTTGTGTTCCTAGATCTCGAAGGTAACAAATGAAAACATATTCTTAACCCAAATGTCTTCGGATTAAAACTACAAATAGTTTTTTTTTATATATTACAAAAAAGAAAAAAAGTCTTCAAACAGTCTCTACTTGATCATAAATATAATAAAACGTAGACATCTGTCAGTACGTGGGTGCTTAACGTATTTGGAAAGCTGATGCTACTGTGTGCACAAAATAGATTTTAATAATGCATTTGTACTTGCATATTTTTCACATGCATTTGTTTAGAATATATATATATATATAAATGTTTATGTTTACTTTATGCATATACAGAAGTCTGTGGTCAGTCAATCTTTTCAACATATTGTTACGTCTCTGGTCGTTAGTTAACTTCCAGTATAATTTCTTTCCGATGAAACTTTAGCGACACAAGTCCTTTCTTAAATAAAACTAGTTTATTCTTTCTCAATACAACTTTGAAATTCACTTAATTTCAACTGTCACACTATAAGTTAAACAAACGCTATAATTCACAACGCGCTCGACCCAGCAATACGTCTCTATCTCTGTCTGCAGTTCAATTACATTACATTGTTGCCGTCACTTCTTGACGGTCTTATATATACAAGAATACCGCATCTAGTAACCTCTCGAGGCTTCAAGAAAGGACATGAATTTTCTAGAAGCGCATGACGTGTTACTAGGGTCATGTGAACTCCGCTGTCGTAACAATATGTACTTCTCAATCACATACTATCTTTACAGTTTTCATTTATAATAGCTATCTAGGATTGTTTTTATTGGTATTTTATTCTTCACATTAAAATATTTCATATATGATATTGATACACACACTTTCGTATGTAGGCCTAACTACAAATTATTTTCTAAAATTACCCAGTTGGCCGTTTCCTCAGTGACGTACTTTCAAAGACAAACATGGTAGATTACCTTTAGCTAGGACCATATCATTGATTCTTTTCAGTACAACACATGGCACTTCCCAGTATCTGCATATCTTTGGAGTTTGTTCTTTCTTGTGGAGGAGATTGTACTGCAATACCATGTCATCTCGATGAAATCTGATCTTATCAGCATTAACATCATAGTGACTTTTCCTTTAATTACAAGCTGATGTAAGTCTTTCCTGGGTAAAGTCATGTATAACATCTTTATTCTTCAGACCCATGGGAGTTCTTCCGATAATTAACCCCTCAAAACATGACAGGGTCTTTGGTTCTGCTACACTAAATGTAGATATATTCTTATAACTCCTGGTATAAGTATTTCACTCCTTTGTGGAACAATGACCTCCCTTCTCAGGCCCGTACGCAGAATGTTTAAAAGGGGGATTCTAATTTGTGAGATCAAAAGCCAAACGTATATTGTGCAAAGCACAATCAGCATGCAAAGCATGCTAATGCTGTGGGGGATCTGAGAGCATGCCCACCCCCAGAAAATTTGTAAAAAAATAAGTACTATGAGGTTAAATGTGGAAGTAATTTTTCATTAAATATAATTTAAACAACTGCATGGATGTTCACATAAAATTCACAAGCATCCAATGAAAAGTCAACAAATCAGCATTTTGTTGTAACACTGCATGGGGAACTAGACTTAAATTACCATAAATATGTATGTTTTATTATAGTAAAGTACTATATTACCTATTTGCAAAGTAGTTATTAATTGTTAAATTATATTACTAATTTAAACAACTCTGTACAAAAATAGTAT